TGAACTACAAATGCGTCCTGTGCAAATTGAGGTAGATCGTTGGCAAACACGCAGTATAAAAGAGGCCCTAAGGCCGAACCTTGAAACACGCCGATGTTGTTGGGCAGCGGACGGGATGTTTTAACCTCCCCCCGTGCGCCAGTGAAGCTGACGCTTTGAGTATGACCTCTAAGGTAGGCTGAAAACCAGGACGTATGAATGCCGTGAGCCTGTAATTTTGAAAGGAGTCTTGAGTGGTCTATCACATCAAAGCACTTGGTCAAGTCCAGCAGGCAGAGAAGGGACACTTCTCCATGGTCGAACGAGGAGAGGATATGGTCAGATACGGATGTTAGCGCGGTTTCGGTGGAGTGACGGGGACGGAAACCGTGCTGGTTTGGGGAAAGGAGGTGGTTTTCGGATAGATACGCATAGAGCTGCTGGTGGACGGCTCTTGCTCTGAGATAAGAGTCAAGTCGCCGACGGGTTCATTTGATAGTTTGCGTTTAAGGCAGTGGAGAGAAGGGAGTACAGTCTCTCGTTTCGTATGTAGTAAGGCTACGTGTTGGTGGTATGGTGGCATGAGCCAGAAGCCGGTCTGTCAGCAGCTGGACATCAGCAGCAGCCAGTAGCACATCTGCCTGAGGCGTAATAGGCTGGGACTTGGTGGCAGACTCAGCCCGGCCTCGATCGCAAATGGCGCCCTTTGCCAAGTGGTGAGGAGAGTTGTTAAGATAGCGACAAGGAAACGGCACCAATCGATCCGCAGACTGACTTGAATTCTTACCAATGCAGATAATAAGAGGCCTTACGTCATGATTCACCGTTACCCGCCCTTTAGCTTGGTTTTACTGCCCTTCAAACTGAAAAAGACAATGAAATTGACGGGATATCAACCAGTCCACCACCTTTGACCTCAGGCCAGGGCGTGTCCAGTGGTCGAAGGAAGACATGAATAAGGTGGCCTGGTCGGATGAGAAGTTGTTCGAGCTGCGACATCCGTTGAGCCGTCAAATCGGCAATGTGTGGGCTGCCAGCAGCTCGAACGTGCCGTCCGTCGTCGGCGTCAAACATCCGGCCCAAATCCAGACCTGGAGCATGTTCAGCTGCTGTGTAATATTCAAGCTGTTCGTGACGCCACATAAAACCACTATCAGTGACGAGTATTACCGGCGCAACATCCTGGTTAGCGATTGGTTGGAGTCACTCAACCAGACTGCACAGGAGGGCTCGGTTGCTGAACGTGTACTGATGCCTAATTCAAGCCGCGCAGTCTTCATGCGGGGCGGTACACCACCTTCAAGTCCCTAGCGGCTAGCAGAATGAGAACGAGAAGTGATGCCGAGAGGACCTATTTTTCTTCTGGGCTAACGGGCTATGACTTGGAAATAGCTCCCATCACAATTCCATCGATATCTTAGGGACATATTGTCCACCAGGAGATGAATGAGGGGACACCCGCCACCAGCGCCGCCCAACTGTGGGCACAGGTTAGTAAGGCGCTTCTCTACATGAAACCCACTGGGTTTTCCAGCTGGAAAACCCAGTGGCTGGAATGCTCCAAAAATTTGTACCAGAACTATTATGGAAGGTGGCTATATCATAGGCGTAGGAACAGGGGGGGGCCGGGGGGGGGGGCCATGGCCCCCCCACTTTCGGTGGTGGGGGGGCCAGCAATGTTAACTGGCCCCCCCACTTTTTGCTGACTTAAGTGTCTGTCGGTACCTACCACCCGGTAACTTGCCAACTATTCAGCTTGCAACTATTCAGCTTGAAGATTTCCTTTTGTTTCTACAGCGTTATTGACCGCAATTTCCTTCACTCAATGAAGGAAACCATATCAGAGACAAGACTGCCTGTGGGTCCTGTCCTGGTGACAGCATTTTGTTGAATACGAGGCGCGGGACAGTGAGCACTGAAAAGGTATAAGACAATACTAGCACGGTGCAGGAGAATGCGTATACAAACGACCAACGCTTGACCGGATCTGCTTGGGGTCGGCATAGTTCGTCAAAGGCGTACTAGCTGGGGGCCAGGGTGACCGTGCCCCCGCCTCGGCTCAAACAGGCTGGGGGCCAGCAATGTCTGTATCTGCCCCTCCCCCTTCCACTTTCAGTGCAGTGGCGGTCGCAGAGGAGGGATCAGGGCCATGCCCTTCCCCCTCCAAAGGCTAATCAGGGGGCCATCATATCATTTGCCCCCCCCCCCCCAAACAACCAATGGGCCCCCATGGGCGTATGGGGCTCTGGCCCTTATTCGATTGTCACGAGGCTCAAGAATCCCACGCTAGCTATGAACAGCTCCCAAACCAGTCTTTGAGGGTCCTACACTGATCTCGGAGGGCCCTTCAGTGGCGGTCAAGCGCCCACATTGACCGCTGAGAACCCACATTGACCTCATTTGAGGGCCCTTAAACCGGCCTCAAGGGCACAGCCGACGTCTGAGGGCCTCACACCGGCCTCTGGTGTCCTCATTTCTGTCTCTGGGGTTCCAAGACTAACCTTTAGGTGCCTCTGAGGGCCCCGCACTGGATTCTGAAGATCCTATACCGGTCTCTAAGGGTCCCCATCGGCCTCTGAGGGCCCACCTTGGCCTATGAGGGCCCTCCGCTGGTCTCTAGGTTCCAGGTCCCGCTCATGCCGGTCTGTTACGGCCCCACACTGACCTCTAAGGGCCCATGCTGGCCTGTAAGGACCCGCATTGGCCTCTGAGGACCTTGCACTGGATTCTGAAGACCCGATGCTGGCCTCTGAGGCCCATCTTGGTTTTTGAGGGCCTTCTGCTGGCCTCTGGGGTCCAACACCGGCCCATGCTGGCATTTTAGGGTCCCACACTGACCTCTGAGGGCCCATGCTGGACTGTAAGGACCCACATTAGCCTCTGATGGCCCAAGTCGGCATCTAAAGGTATCATCCTGCCCTTTGCAAGCCCTGTACTGGTCTCTGAGGGCCTTAACCCTCGCCGGCCGATGGGGGGGGGGGGGGTGCCGCCCCTCCAGTTTTTTTTTTCGCGATAGCTCTGAGCACGCCGGCGATAGAGAGCTGAAGCTTTGCATACCTGACATTAGAATCAAGGCGGATCGTTTGAAACCAACCGCATTTTCGGGTCAGTTCAGGTCACTGACCCATGAGGTCATAAGTGAACCTCTGCACGGTCTTCAGATGTCGCAACTTCGCAACGCCTCACTGCCAGAGGATATTTCACGGGGAAATGAGCCTTGGAGGACCTAGTATCCATTAGGAGTCTCACAACTTGTACATCTCGGATTTTCCCTTAAGGTCATATGAGATCAGGTCATTTTCGCGACCTCACCATTAGGTATAAGTCAATGGGGATAAACTGAAAACTTTTTTCTGGCGCCGGAAACGATCTCCAACTATCTCAAGCACACCGAATTGTGATTTCATGCACTCCATGCAAGGTTCGATGCGTCACTTTTGTAATGTTGACCTTGCGTGACGTCATTTATGAAGTTATAAGGGTCATATTAGTTTGTCGTCAATAACTACCGCTCAAATTGAGCTAGCGAGTCGGGAAAGCCATCAATGGACTCAGAAAGACCTGCCGAATCGAATGATATGCGACATGACCTCCTTCGACCAATTTCGTGACCTGGGGGCGCTGACCTGACCGTGACCCGAGGTCAACACCCTCAGTTTACTTCACCCAAACAAAAAGTATATCATACGACGCGCCTGAGAGAGGCGAACACGATGCTGGCAAAATCGCGGCTCTGCGGCCGTTTTTTGCGAAGTTATTCACCAAAAACTGAACAGTGCCTTGAGGCACTTGACTTGACCTCAGAGGTCACCGGTTGACCTAGGACCTTAAAATCGGGTATCGATCTCTGCGTCTTGTAACGGCGCACACGCTCGTTTTTCCGCGACGTGCTAGCTCCACCTGGGGCGAAACGGCGAGGGGGGTCGTACCCGCCCCCCGCCCCCTCGGCCGGCGCGTATGTAGAAAACCTATAGGTCCGGGCCGTCGAGGGTTAAACTGGCCTCTGAGGGCCCAGACCGACCTCAAAGTCCCACACCGGCCTCTGATAGTCAATCAGCCCAGTTGCAGTGGTTGCTGATATAAAACCTCTAAAAGTTATCGGTCTGGCTGAGCCTAGCTGGACCTTTCATGCTGATTTTTATAGGTACCTATATTGAAAAGACTCGCTTTGCACGTTTCACGCTTGCTCGTAATGAAAAAGTTGCTGGATGCCTCTGGAATTTGCATGGGTGCCAACGGCTGCGGAGGACAGGGGAACGCGCCCATCAGTGTGAGTTTATGGACGGGAGTCTCCCTGAAATTTTAACCAATTTTTTTTTTGTTTTTGCCTCGATTTTTTTATCTCTAAGCATGTTTGCGAAAACAAAGTGGCCGAAATCCGAGGAGAAATTGGATTTTGGGGGTAGGTTAGGTTTTGGACCTCTGGGACCCTGGCCCCCCCACTTTCGAAAACGTTCCTACGCCTATGGGCTATATAATAATTTAAAAGCGAAAATAACAGATTGTCTTGCTTCTTAATTACAGCGCGAAGAAAGATGTCCGGATAATTTCGTTACATCCTGCAACTCCGTGACAATTGACAAGGCTGATGCACACTTTGCACAGGAATCAAACAATTACCAAAACATCAAATTCAGCTTTTGATGCCATTCGAACGCAAAACGGTTGGGCAATATCGTTCAATAGTACAATAGGTAGATACCGGCAATACCAGTTGAATTCCGGTGTTTTAGCCTGAAGGCAGTGGCGGCGGAATACCTTCGATTAAGGGGGGGGGGGGGGGGGGGCACCGCCGACTTTTGGTCCCATTCTTTCCATGCAACGTCCATAGGGCTAATGTTAAAATGCCAAAATTAAAGGGAGGCACGGTGCCCCGGTGCCCTCCCCGTTCCACCGCCTATGCCTGAAGGTGAACTATTTCACTTAAAGGTCAACATTTCGACGCTGTGGATGTCAGCTTCAGGTAACCGTGTCACTCAAACTTCAATGGTGACGCCGACTATCGATTTTTACTGTGGCAGTAACGCTGTCACCGGTCACGTTCAGTCTATCTAGGGGCTCACGCTTTGAAAGCCTCTGTGGGCAGCCGAGCTGTAAAGCTGACCTCATACGGATAATATCGATGAGGCGGCAGGCGCTGTTGGCCCTGCTGTGCTCACTGACGCTCATCAGTGGCCAGCGAGCCAGACAGGGAACAGGTGAGGCGGCCAGCGGCCAGCGAGTCAGACAAGGAACAGGTGAGGCTGCCAGCGAGCCAGACAGGGAGCAGGTGAGGCGGCCAGCGGCCAGCGAGTCTTGCTCCACTTTAACCTTTGCCCGGGTGGGGATGGAGGAGGGGGGGGGGAGCGTTTTTGACCACACATGCCAGTTTTTTTGCTTGTGTAAAGAAAACCGCCTCGCGCAGCACCGCGAAGCTTGTTATAGCTTTATGCTACATCGATTTGGCATCGTGTGTGAAATCTTTGATCCCAGGTGACATAAGATCAGTCACCAGGTCAAGGCAGGTGACCATGCCTCTAAAAACTTTGTGATTCTGTCATTCCTGCAGTTAACATCATAGAAATTTGAAACTCGAGCTATTACATGAGATAATCAATTAATGCCAACAATTTGTATATCTCGTAATTTTGACGTTGGTGACCTGAGGTTAGGCCAATTTTGCAACCTCTCCATTATAGGTAATTCAATGGGAGAAAAGTGAAAAGGTTTTCTTTGAGCGAAAGCACCCTCAAATATCGGGACACAGGTACAAATGACACACTGAATCGGAAAATTGCACCGTGACACCTTTTATGCCCTGAGGTCATATCAGGTCATCAAACGTCTCTAACAGTTTCCTTTTTTTACAATAACTTAACATAGAAACAAGCTAGAGCGTTGGAAACCCCACGGAGGCGTTCAACACAACGATACGAACCGACTTATACGCAACATGACCTTTGGCTTGTGACCTTGACCTGAGGTTAGCTTTTTAATCATTTGACGCGTCTTGGTAAGGGAAACGCGATGCCGGTAAAAACTAACGAAATGCAAGCTTGGTGTTCAAAATTAGTACAGAAAAATATTTTCCGCATAGGTGTCATTGAGAGGTTTTGCCCGCTGGAGGCTTAAGCCGTTGACCTCAGGTTAAATTTGAGAGCAATACGCAGAAAGTGAGCTCTGAAAAAGCTATCGATAATCGAATGCGCTTTTTTCGCGGCGCTTTAGCTCCATTGGTTCCCGATTTATGCGCCGAGTTGTGAAAATTTAATAAAATCGGGAACCAAAATTCAGATAATCTTGCTTTTGGTGATATCCAGTGACCTGAACGCTGACCTGATCGAAAAGTGTGCTCCATGATTCTGAAAAATCTTATAGCAAGTTATCAATAGCTCTTTACTGCGTCTTTCTAGCCTTCTTACTTTCCGAGATATAACCTGGCGTGGGCAAACACCCACCACCACCACCATAGCGAAGTTAGCAGAGAAGCCCACTCGGGCGCGGGTTGAAAGCCTTTCTCTAGCCATCCAGTACGATGCCCTTTTTCTGAGAAGCGTCTATTATGGGAGAATAGTTCTACCATCCTCTTAAGCTCATTCTCTCTCCACGTGGCACCTGGGCCCAATCTTACCAATGCCGTTAATAGGATTTGGCAGCACTGGCCGGAGTTAACGGCACTGATATCAAAGATATCCTTTTTATTTACATCCAGCTAATCTTGTCCAATGATTTTGGTAGCGTTAATAATTGTGAATGTTGCCTGAACGAATGAATACATGAATGTAGAATAGTTCTAAATGTTACCAAATGCCGTGAATGCGCATTCACGGCATTTGGTAAGATTGGGCCCTTGATCGACCACACTCTTAGCAGCGTCTCGTGCCCGTGTGATGCAATGTAGTCATGATGTTCTGCATGAGCCTTGGTGGTATGAACGCTTTTTGACCAATAATTCAGACGCAAAGCAGTGATAACATGTTTCTAAATCTGGTACCACCGCTTGAAGCATGGATAGTTACTTGTTCGCCAAACTTATTTTAAATTTAAGTTGTGTGCATCTTACCCACATATTTCATTCATATTTTGAGTCACACCTTAATTGCACCTTTACACTCATCTGTTTTAAGCTTTAACTATGTGTAAAGCTCAAAGGTATTTTTATTTTCTCAATCTTTAGAAAAAAGGAACTGCATGCTGTGATGTGAAACTCAAGGTAGGGGAAAGTGGGGTATGACGGGCATGTTAGTTTTGCGGGTCTGTACCTCTGAAGTCTTTTCTTCGATTGCTTCACCAATTTAGCACAACCATCTTCAGGCATTTTTCTTTCAGTGCCCCTTTGACACCTAAGGTCTAAATCCAATACTTTTCAATTGAGAGTGTTTTTAGCAAGACCCTGCAAAAACCCGTCTTACCCCACCGGGGAGGGTAAGACGGGCACTGATGTTGGGGCAAGACGGGCACAACGTTAGTTTGAACTTCTTTACATATTTACTGCCGAATAATTATGCTAATACATCTTACACATCTGGCTTTTGATCTTACAGTCAATATTGTAAGGTTCGTAGCATCGCACGGCTACTTATAGGCGTAATGGTATTGATCGATGTAATGAAAAAATTAAACAAATTCAAAGCTGTCTATTTAAATAATTTCGATGGAAATGCGTTGCAAATGATGTAGAACAGCGTAAGTTAGCTTAAAATAACAATATCAGATGGTTTGCATTCCTTTCATCATTGTTGCCCGTCTTACCCCATTCGGCTGCCAATAAGGATATCACACCGCCTCCGGGCACCAAATTAAAGGATTCATTCGCCAGCATACACATTTGGATGACACCCTAAGACGAAACTCTCATCAAATTTCCAAAACAAAATATGAAACAGCGAGGTCAGAAAACACTACGAAACACGATAGTTCTGCTTAGAGTGCAAGGCACGTTTTTAGCTTTTCCACAATTTTTCAAAAACTATTTAAGATGCGTACCTCTGCCTTCACCTCACAGCAAAGAACCACACGGCCGATTACCAACCACAACAAGAGGTTGCTAGCGCCAACGGTTTGGGCTAGAGGGCCGGTGCCCGTCTTTCCTACCCCGCCCGTCTTACCCCACTTTCCCCTACCTCATACTGTCACAGTTTTTATGATTATCGACTTGGCCGATCTCTCCCTGCAGGTGAATTTTGGTCTTTAGCAATAAACGAATTATTGGGACTTTATTTATTGATGCATGTCTGTGCAATGAAGCAAATTTTAAACCAAAATATCAATATAAATAAACGTTTATTGATTCGAAGGTAGGTATGCATACAAATTAAAACGACAGGCAAAAACTGTTTTCTTTGTTTTCCTTATTGCTCAAGAGCCTTGCAAGACAAATCTCGAGCTTCCTGCAAGGTGAAATGTGTGAAATATCATGAGACTTTAATTTTTATCACCGTAACACAGCCAAATCGTTTGGAACGGAAATTATGTTTACACGACAAATTGATTAAAAAATCTCCTATTTCGCTTGATTCGAGCATGAATGTCCCAATATGAAAAAATTACATGTTAATTTATTTTTCATTTTATTGAATTTTTCTTTGGACTGGTGTCAAAGTAAATACCTGGATGGGCAGCCATGGGTGATTGGCAACGAAAACATCTTCAATTCGATCTACGCAGATGGGTATGCACCGGATAACAATCATGAAACTGGGCTTCAGGTTGCCAAGGATCAGTTCACAGAATCGTTGCACAAATGCATTACATTTGGCAAAGAAGAAACACCGAAATGCGTCTCAGGCGGCTCATCGTGTGCAAAGTTGAAATGCAGTAACCACTTCGATAAACCATACCTTTGTGTGGAAAAGGGTGGTTTTATTGCCCCAAATATGACGGCTGGCGTTAAGCCGACCGAGAAGAAGGGCAGTGCTTTCCCTACCTACGCAACCAACAGCAAGTATGTCGAATTTAGCTATGCATTAGCGGGAAGTGTTATTGCCAGAGCATTGGGACTCCGATCTCAAATGGAAGTTCGTCCAGATTTTGATAAACACATTAATCGCAATGATGAGGCTCTCATTCAGAGTATGGCCAGTCTGTCAGATTCATTTGGAGTTTTCAAGCTGTTGCCGGAAAAATGGACGGTCAAGGATTTCGAAACTTTGGTACATTCAGTGTATGGAAGACACTGCTCAAAGACGGTCTTCAAGTCGGATCATCCATTTGATTTCCGTTCAGTTGCTAATACTTTTAGCGCGTTTGGAGATGTTGGATACACTCTAGCCATTGATGAACCTGCAGCTGCGTATGTTGCAAGAGATCGAGCCAACCAATGGATGATCGGATATTCACAACTAACGGGTCCCTGTCAGATGGTCTCTCACTTCGATATATATAAAATCATGCGCGAATATAGATGCTCAGAAACAGCATTCAAATGCGACAAATCACCCAAGTGCCGAAACTTTGGCTATGTTGATAAAGACTGCAGGTGCACATGTGCACCTGGATTTGAAGGAGAGTACTGCAACAAGTTCCGCAGTAATCCATATCCGAGAGCACTGAAGGCCAAGTGCTCTGTAACAGTCAACTCACCAATAATCCTCGATCTGCAGCATAATAATTTTCACGTAGAAGAAAAGGCGATAAAAAAGGGGAACGACGGTGCTGGCTATGACCTCAATTCCTTTGGCATTGGTAACGGCATGGGTTTCTATAGTCAGTGGTGCACAATAGTTATTCAGCCGTTTAGTGATAAACGGCCTGTGATTGAACCAATAGCCAATCTGTTCAAACCTGACGTTCCCTTAACAATGGTACTAAAGTCATCGTCGTTCAGAGATAGGTTTCAGGATTGCAGCGGCCTGGTTACCGCCCAAGTGCTTTACAGCAATCCGTTAAAAAGGAGGGTGGTTTGCTTTAGCAGCCTGTACGTGCAGGATGCGCCGCAAATTCGGCCCAACCGCTCTGACTCAAGCATCGACATCACCTGGACATGGACAGTCAGCCCGGAGACCATGACACCCAGCGTCTTCTACATGAAGATGGGCATCACCTACCATCCAATGCCCTCAAAGATATTACGCGTTTACCATTCAGCAAAAGAAGAGGCTTTGTTTGACAACAACGAGGCGGGAGCCATGCGTTCTATTGGTGGAGTAGCCGGTGGTGCAATCGCCGGCTCCGTGGTGGCTTTGCTACTGCTAGGCGGCGTTGGAGGTGGCCTCTACTATCTCCAGAAAAAGAAACTGGAAAACGAGGAAGCAGGGTTGGTTGAAGAAATTAAAGAAGATTAAATATGCTCCATTCGATAAATACTGTTTGACAGATAACTACCTTTTTGGTTACGTCTCTTGCCAAGATAAAAATATACGATTTAATTTAATGGTGTGTTTTCCGCGCTATGGTCTCAGCAGCGCTAAAAACACTGAGGAATAGACGGGCACTTAGGAACGATAGAGGAGGGAAGGAGAGAGAGGGGGAGAGTGAGTGAGGGAGGGAGAGAGAGAGAGAGAGAGAGAGAGAGAGAGAGAGGGAGAGAGAGAGAGAGAGAGAGAGAGAGAGAGAGAGAGAGAAAGAGAAAGAGAAAGAGAAAGAGAAAGAGAAAGAGAAAGAGAAAGAGAAAGAGAAAGAGAAAGAGAAAGAGAAAGAGAAAGAGAAAGAGAAAGAGAAAGAGAAAGAGAAAGAGAAAGAGAAAGAGAAAGAGAAAGAGAAAGAGAAAGAGAAAGAGAAAGAGAAAGAGAAAGAGAAAGAGAAAGAGAAAGAGAAAGAGAAAGAGAAAGAGAGAGAGAGAGAGAGAGAGAGAGAGAGAGAGAGAGAGAGAGAGAGAGAGAGAGAGAGAGAGAGAGAGAGAGAGAGAGAGAGAGAGAGAGAGAGAGAGAGAATTCATTGCGATTTTTAGCTGCTGTCAAGGTCAAGCGAGGTCAATTACCTATTCACTAGCGGTTTGGAAGAAAAATTTCTATGGTCTGCCTATATGCAATCGAATATGCTTTTAATCGTAATTATTCCTACTCGTACATTCAAGAACTGCTGTACCATTGCTTTTTCGACCTTTCCCGTAAATAAACTGACAACAATGAGTGGGCCATCAATCGAATAATAACACGGGTTAATTCAGAATGGTGTTTAAGACAAGGTGGACAGTGGACACTGCTTGGCGCGTCTATCCGTCGAAAGGGCGACGTCAGGCCTAGTTCGGGGTCGCCAGATCAGTCCAGTTCAGAAAACACTGAATTTTAAACAAACTAACGATTTTAGTCAGGCGGCCACCGTTTCGATGCTACCACATTGCACCGTGTATCATGACATCATAGCAGGGCTGCGGAGTCGGAGTCGGAGTCGGTCGGAGTCGACAGTTCTGACCGAAGTCGGAGTCGGAATCGCCATTTTGGAAACCGGAGCCGGAGTCGGAGTTGGAGTCACCAAAAGTCCATCGACTCCGCAGACCTGATAGGGCTCACCCTCATATTTTATTTTTTGCTTAAAATTGGTCTAATGGGTTGTGATGGGCGGGGAAGCCAGCTGTGGCAAGCATTTTTTTCTTCGAACAACGGTTTCCAAGATATAGACCTTAATATTTTCCCCACTGAAAGTTGCAATTTTGTCTGATGACGATTAAAGCCTTATCAATTGTCATTCATATGCGATAATAAAAAAGTGGCTATCGCCCTGCGTTGACCTCAGGTCAGGTCATTTTTATTACCTATCCATTATTACGAGCGGGAGCGACAGCGAGATCTCGAGAATAAAGCAAGATAGCGACAAGCGGTGAACGGTACAGGATTCACACGAATAAGGTCTACAATTTTTACTGAGGTCATTTTCAAGTCAGGTCAAAGATGACGTCACAGGGGCAAAAAGGAAGTCAAAATAGTTTTGGCTGTACCTTTTGATCTAATAAAGAAAGAGACGTGGAACAGGCACCATTGTGTTTGCTTTGGCCTAGCGCCAGTTCGCTTTGAATTTCGATATTGATGACCTAAGGTCAGGTCAATTTCTTGACCATCCCATTTAAAGTCAATTGGGGAAAAATCGGCTCGCTTACTTTTAAACTAAAACACGTCGGAATCGCCTAATATACCATGAGTGACTTCATATAGGATCAACTTTGCCTACCTTGAGACCCTTTTTTGCTCTTAAGGTCATGTGACATCATTAAAGGTCACCAAAGGTTTTTTTGCTATTAACTCCTTACAGGTTTGAGATACAGATGCGCGGATGGACTCATTGTGCTCAGCTCGTCAAGGCGCATCGAATGATATATATGAAGACCTTAGGTCACGTGACCTAAGGTCAACTTTTGACCTTGACCTTTCGAGGTCAACATACATATGTTTCGATGCGGATCGACGAGAGGATCACGATGGTGCTATTAGTTTGCTCCTAGCTGGGATACCTTAAGTTATTCGAGAAAAACTTCATATATATGTGGTGCCGCTATTTTGACTTCCTTTCAGCCCCTGTGACGTCATCTTTGACCTGACCTGAAAATGACCTCAGTAAAAATTGTAGACCTTATCCGTGTGTACCCTGTACCGTTTACCGCTTGTCGCTATCTTGCTTTGTTCTCGAGATCTCGCTGTCGCTCCCGCTCGTAATAATGAACAGGATATAAAAATGACCTGACCTGAGGTCAACGCAGGGCGATAGCCACTTTTTTATTATCGCATATGAATGAAAATTGTTAAGGCTTTAATCGTCATCAGACAAAATTGCAACTTTCAGTGGGGAAAATATCAAGGTCACTCTGAAAAATAGGTCAAAAGGTCACGTGATCAAAATTTTCAAAAATTGAAAATCCGAGATAGCCAAAATGTTTGTTGGTTGATTGTGAGTTGAACCATGTAAAGTACCTATTTTATCATAGAAAAACCAATAGTTTCTGAGTTATAAGCCGCCAAACATAGGGTTGCAGCGTGACCTCCAGGAATTGCCCGAGGCTATATCTCGGAAACCGTTGTTCGAAGAAAAAAATCCTTGCCACAGCTGGCTTCCCCGCCCATCACAACCCCATACACCAGTTTTCAACGAAGAATAAAATATGTGGGTGCAAATTTAATTTTTCATTTGTCGATTTGTCGTGGAACGCCCCACCTACGAAAATGGCCGCCAGGCGCCATGGCCAACTACTGCAAACACGTAGGGGGCCATCATGAGTGGCTGTGGTTATTAGGTGTGGACTGGGGCTGGGACGTTTCTGGGACTCAGGGCGCTGTTACTGTGTGTCTGTGTGTCTGACAGGGACAAACAGCCGGAACGGCAGTCGGCCATGCGGGATTGTCAGCAACGCCAGCCGGCCACACCCCTGGATAGTGAGTACCTACCCGCAACCCGGGCCCCACCAAAAACAGCCGCCCGCAGCCCTGGATAGTGAGTACGTCGTCACAAGTCATCGTCATCGTCACAATACCTACCCGCTACCAGGGCCCCACCAAAAACAACCCCAGTGGACAGTGAGTACCTACCCAGTGGTCGAACAGCAAACATAAACAAATCCCCTGGACAGTCAGTACCCGCGAGCCAGATCGAACAATGAGCACAAACGACAATCTTTTGAATAGTGAGTGAGTACCAGCGATTAGCGACTCAGGCCGAACTGAACACAAACACTTAACTATCCCGTGGATAGCGAGCACTAAGCTGCGGTGAATGTTGCTAGGCGCGGTAGTAGGTAAACAAACAGTATGCAAATGAACCGGCTTGAATATAAACATTTGCTATCTATGGAAATCGTCCACCTCTCAACCGTCTAACAAAAAAAAAAAGAAAAGAAAAGAAATAAGATAAAATAATACTCACAATAAAAATAAAAGTAAGTACCTATATAAATAACAGTATATCAGCATCTGCCAAAAAACGTTCATTCAGGCAGTAATCAAAACCGTACCTATATTCAGTCAGTGGATAAAACCATTCAGTCGGTGAATCGTCCTTTCATTCGATGAATGAACCGTGCACTCGGTCGATAACTATGCAAAGCCGTTCATTCATTCCATGAATAAAATCGTCCATTCAGTAGGTGGATAAAACCGTCCATTCACTCCATGAATAAAACTGTCCATTGCGTCGGTGAATAGAATTGTCCATTCATTCAATGAAAAACGACTATTCAGTGGGTGAATAAATCCGTTCTTTCAGTCGGCGGATAAAATCGTTCATTCAAGCGGTGGTTAAAACCATTCGTTTCGACGGTGAATAAAATCGTTCATCTAGTCACTGAATAACTTATAACACCGTCTATTCAGAAAGAGAATAAAATCATTCATTCAGTTGATAAACCAAACCGTCCATTCAGTCGGTAAATAAAACCGTTAATTGAGTCGGTGGGCAAAGCCCTCCATTCAGTTAGCGAATAAAACCGTTCATTCAGTTGATGAATCACCTCATCCTTTCAGTCGATGGATAAAACCATTTTTAAGCCGATGGATAAAATTGTATCAATAATTGTGTTGTGTCTTGTGAAAGGATAGTTATGTTCTATCATGTGGGCATGCCGTCTAAACAGTCGTCCAACTGTCAAAGCTCGGCTCCCAACAAATGACAACGCACCAGCGTTATAGGCTCGTTTGGGATACTGGAAGTTCGAAGCGAGCAACAACTCTGGTCGGCCGACGTACACGCTGAAGTGGCTCTGTGGCGGCAGTCTGGTCACCAGGACGATGGTGGTGACGGCAGCACACTGCGTGGCAGGCGCAGTCAGGGAAGGGTGAGTACTCAAAATAACTCAACCAACACCAACACCCGCCTTCGGATGTCATTGCTATTGGGCCAGGCAGTCCTGGTCCATGGGAACCTGAGTCAACCAATCATGTTATTCGTTTCACCATGTTGTTTTGTTAGTTGCTACGTCACACGTCACAATCCGGGCGTGCGTTTCTTGACAGCCAATCGGATCTTCGCAAGATGAGGAACTCCGTCTCATTGGCCGCGACCCAGCCGCGCCTGCGTTGCTTTGAGAAACCAATCGCGTCTTAGTAGGGGTCTAACTCCGCCCACTGTCCGTCATCGGATGCGCCATGAGCTGCCCCAGTCGACCAATCACGCTTCACCTCTGCCCACACATTGGGGGGATGGGGGGGGGGGGGCTCCCGCACCAGGGTATATTGAGTGTCCCGCACAACGTATCTACGCTACGACCGTACGACGTTCGATACATATGTTTGATTTTTGGTAGGTAGGGATTTTCCATGAGTTATCATTTTCCGAGGCCATTTTTACCTAGATAAAAAAGCGTTGGCTGCTGGTATTTTCATTTCTCAAGGTCTCACTGAAGTGCGAGTGGGTTTTTACCTAATCAGCTGTGCGAAAAAAGACCGCAGATGTGAAAACGCCTTAGTTAGGGTGGCTGCATTATTCTTCACCTCAGCGAGTTTTTTTTTCTCGTGTGACTGACGTAATTCGGGAAAACTCTTTACTTTAGCCTAAAAATAGCCACAGTCGACGATTTTCCTGCTAATATGGGTGCTGGCCCCTGAACTTCAACTGTTTATGACCCTCAGTTTCTTGGGTATTTTCTGTTTGCAAAGTCGCAAGGTCACGTCAGGACCGTTGATTTTGCATTAACAAACATTATATCACCTACATAATATATAGTATGTAATTGTAGGTGTTATAGTTATATAAAGTTACATTTTATTTATTAATTATTATTTATAGTTATAGTTATAATTTATTTATTTATATATTAATAATAATTAATTGTTAATTATTCTAGTTATACATACATGTATAACTAGCGTTCAAAACCTTAAGCTCCCGCATACCTACTCGAAACATCCGTACCTACCGAGCCCCTTACCATATCCCCACAAGTTTTCTTCACCATTCAGCCAATAATATGTGTTCACTAAAAATTGAGACAAAGTTTAGCAGGCTGTATCTTTGGTAAAAATGTACCAATTTAAACAAACGAGGCATTATTGTAATGCACATTGTATCTGCAGCAAGCCGTAGAGCGTCAACAGATTTGCCTGATCCCCATAGGTCATTTTTTGGACATTTCCTTGGAAGTGTTGTCACAAGCTCTGGCACCAGTGGACCATGATGTTGGCCAGTTGTTGGTGGTAATGAGCAACCAGTTGATATTTTGTATGAAATCGAAAGACACCAACACACGTTATTATAGCCTTAGGCAAATCACATTAGATACTCATTTGTTAAATTTCAGTCGTGGAAAATGGCTTATCGGGTCTCGTTCCAATGGGAATTTTTACATCGGCCGGGGCCCTCAAGGCGCCCCTTGGTTAGAGTGCTGGCGCGAGGTCGGACCAGAAAATCACCTTCTGGTTACATATGTTGTTCTGCATGAACCTCTAGTGCTTAATAATACACTTGGCTCAAAAAGTATCATATTGTAAAGGACCAGTCTGGAGGAATAAAGTCGACCTGATGATATTCTCTGAAATAACACATACACCACGGCATCCAGCGTTAGCTTGCATGCTGACACTTAAATGGACGTTAGCCCTTGTATCATCGATTACATCACAACAGAACACTCCATTGTCTAGTTAATTGTTGCCCTTTGACTAAAAACATGATTTTTTCTACCTTAAATAGTTTAACTTTTTTTCTGCATTTTTGTCCCTTTTTTAACCATAGCATTTTTACTTCTCTGGCCTTATGTTGTTCCCAGTCGCTTCGAGAAATCATTTGCGCCGGTTGTAACTCAGCCTAGTCTCAGGTGTGATATATCTTCTTCGCTTAGGCACAGTTAGGTAATACCTTACTGATCAGCAGCATTGCGCCGTGAGGTGTCAAAAAGCCCCTCCACGTGCATTTTCGGGGCCCCGACACTTTCTCAGGTCAATATCTTCACAATTACACCACTTCAGCTTTTCGGACTCCCACACCCTCTAGAACTTTCGTCCCACTGTACTGTCTGTAACTAATTTTGACATTTTAAGTTTTCATAAGGTATTTGTACGTGCCAAACTCTCCCATTGACGTGCTATTTTGGGAAAACCTGCCAATGGACTTTTGGTAGTCCTTGTTTAAAACGACCTCCAACGCCACTGTTTTCATTACATCCGTGAAATTTTATGCTCGGTATGATAAAAACGTCCCTTTTATCTCTATGCTAAATTGCATCGTAATAGCTTGCTTCACTTTTGATATGCAGCCATTCAAAGTTTGTGTCAATTTTTAGTGAACACCCTATATGTCCGTCCCCAGCCGCCACCTGTTGGTTCGTCTGGGAGAGATGGACACCATCCGGCGCAGCGGCTGTGAGCAGGACATCTACGTCTCCAACATCGTGCTGCACCCCGGCTACAGCACCAACAGCCAGTCGCACCACGACGACATCGCCGTGCTGCACCTGCGTCGGTCGGCCACGCTCGGGCCGTGCGTGGGGACCATCTGCCTGCCGGCCCCGGGCGCCGAGCCGACCCCCGGCCAGCAGGTCCGACTCGCCGGCTGGGGCCTGGTGGCCTTCAACAGCGGTAAGGGGACCTGGTGGCCTTCAACAGCGGTAAGGGACCTGGCGGCCTTCAACAGCGGTAAGGAGCTGGGGTCCGGTGGCCTGGTGGTCTGTCTTAAATAGTGGTGAAGAACTGGGGCCTGGTGGCCTTCAACAGTTGTAAGGAACTGCAGCCTGGTGGCGTTCAACAGCGGTAAGGAACTGAGGCCTGGTGGCCTCCAACTGAGGTAAGAACTAAGGAGCTGAGGCCTGGTGGCCTTCATCAGTGGCAAGGGTCTGGGGCTTGGTGGCCATCACCAGCGGTAACGAACCGTGGCCTGGTGGCACTCAACAGCGGTAAGGGAACTAGGGTCTGGTGGCCTCTCTTCACCCCGGTAAGGAACTTCACCTGGTGGCATTCACTTGGTCGCTAGTTCACCCGAGTGGCAAGAGCGAGATCATGAACGGACCAAGTCTGGGTCTGTAGCTGCCAGCTGGGCTTAGGGAGAGTGACAGCTGTGTGCGATTGCAAGTAAGCTGAGCTTAGGCCAAGCTAAGCCCAGACATTGTTGGATTGAGGAGATTGACCCGGGTTTCGTGAAGACCGGCTGAATAAATATCGCTGCCTGCTGGACCAAGCCCACTACCTATTCAAAAAAAAAAAAATAATAATAATAATTTAACCCACCCATCTGATCTGTAAATGTCCGTACACGCTCAAATGTGCCTTGCCTGATGTGTCTTTTTGCAGATGAGACGGCCAAACAGCTGAAGAACCCTTCTCGGGAGGTTCTGCCACTAAGCAGCTGCTCCAGCGCCTACCCATCATACCTTCTAAACGCCTTCTACCCAGGCGGTCTCGGGACGAATAAGATATGCGTCGCCTCTGGACAAAACATACCTATCTGCAAGGTGAGAGTCAAACATCAACAATCAATAATTTCGCTTCGATTCTTTCAGTCCCAGCTCAGACACACAATAAATTGCTCCGGAATCTTGCAACCGTATTTGCCGCCTTCCCAACTGAACCGACGGATGTTTTCCAATGGTCCCCATCCGTTGCTTCTCCGACTGACGTAGCCCTTGCTTCATTCACCCTGTCCCCTGAAGGAGCTGGGGCCAGAACCCTGGTAAACAGTCAGTTTGGAGTGTGGACACCCTAGCTGCCTGACTGCAGCGACCTGTCTCAGCTGTGACCCTGCTCTGACCAGTGACGCTGTTCTCTATCGCAGGGCGACTCGGGCGGCCCTGTGGTGTGGTTCATGCCCGGCCCGCGGCGCTACCTCCTGGTCGGAGTGATATCGGTGGGGATCGGCTGCGGCGCCGACCACCCGGGCATCAACATCAGGGTGGCGCCCTACGTCCAGTGGATCCTCGCCAACCGATGACCGTGGCCCTGTCTGCCTCTTTATGTGAATGTGGACAAATTACACTGATCCCGAAGTTGTGTTTCATTTCAGAGGCTTGAATAAGTCGATAGTATAAGTGAAATACCCTTCATCTTTGACGTCAGATGACGCAGAAGTCTTTTGCAATTTTGCATCATATCAAACATATCAGCTCATTCGGGATATCAAACATGTTGACTTGGCCATGGGTCCTGCCAATGTTCCTCTGTGATCAATAAAGATGAACTTTATCAAGGGCTCTTAGTTAACTTCTCATTTGTTTGCCAGTATCATTACCTAAGTCATTACCATCTTTTCTGCCTTTCACTCAACTCAATGAATTCAAAATTACAATATTTTTGACATTTATTTGGCTACAAAGCACAGTACACAGATCACACATACAATAAAAATGTCAAGATGCACTACTAGTTACATATAACGACAAAATCAGGGGAACGTGGCAGCATGACGATGGGCGATGTTGGATGAATATGATGAAACACTATGAGCAGCATGAGTGTGATAGAGAAACCATTATCATTGCTGGCCAGCTAAGGCACAGCACTCTGAACTTTTCGCATTTCCAACGCAAATACCATCAGTTTCTCCAGCGCCTGACAAGGCATGACACATATTGCAGTTTTCACGACCAGACATTGCGCTGATCCCAAATACAGCTCACTTCACTCACTTCTGCTTGCTTGTTTATTGGTGCTTTAAGCAGACAGCAAAGAAAATCTGCAGTAAGGAGTGAAATGCCGAGGTTGGAATCATTAGAGCAGATTTTCCTTGTTGTCGTCCATGGTGTGGTCGGCCGACCCGAGCGTGATCTCCAGCACACTATCCTCAGGCTCGCCGTCGGCAGTGTCGTAAACGCGCGCGCGCCGGCCGCCCTGGAACAGCACGGCCACCAGGCTGCGAGCGCCGCTCACCGCCATCGCCACCGGCGCCATGTTGTCCAGGGCGCGGCCCGCCGAACAGCTCACCGCCGGCGAGCCGGCCGCTATCGCCGCCACGTCCAGCTGCAGGTACACAGGCGCCCCGACGTCCGTCACCAGCGCAGACAGCACGGAGCTAGAGAAGAAGCAGAGCTGACAGAGGCGCGGCGCTGCGCCGGCGGGCGGCGACAGACCCAGCTCGGTCAGCAGCGTGTGCAGGTCCACCTGGACGGCAGTACCACTACCCAGCGCCGCCACGTGCAGTCGTGCCGGCTGCTCGTCGGCCAATACCACCAGGAACCGTCCCGGCGAGCCCTCAGGCAGCGCTGAGACGGCGACCAGCGGACCGACCTGCCCGCTGAGCGATGACGCCGGTACCACCCGCACTGTGCGCGCGCCGGCGTCCGCATTGTCCGCGAACAGGTGCGCCACTGCTCGGCGCAGCGCGTCATGCTCCTGGATCAGCGATCGGGAGCCGTTGGTAGGCGGCACGATGCCCGGCGCCGCGGCCAGCGAGGCGCTCTCCGACAGAAGTCTGCGCCACTGGCTGCCACCCAGAGTCGGCGGCGCCTCCAGGTCAGCGTTCCGGAGGTACATGCCCACCCGCTCCAGGTGCACACCACGCGCTGTCGCACTGTCACCCAGGTTAGTGTCGACGAACTCCGCGATGAAGGAAAGCTCTTGCTGAGATATCTTCCCCACATCCGGTGGTAGGCTGGTCTCCGCTAGGCGCAGAATAACCGCATACAGCCAGCGGAAGAAGGCCACAAAATTCCTGGTTGAGCTGTCGATGACTTGTTGAATGTCAGTGGCCTTGACGAGGAATAGTGTGACGGCCTGCTGGGCCAGCACGACACGCTCCTCGCTGAGACCCAGGTGGCCGAACCGTTCCTTGTGGCGCACCATCCCAGCGACCTGTTGGCACACGTAACGTAGTTCGTGTGATCATAGGGCACCATCCCGGCGGCCTGCTGGTTCACGCAGTTCAAGGGTCGCAGAACAAGGGTCGATGGCAGTTGTTATAGTACATACTGCGAACATCCTTGGAGGTTGTAACTATTTAAGGTCCATTACGACAGAAGTGCGATGGAGGTTAGGTCTAGGGGAAATCAGCATAATTCAAGTTCACATAATTACCATACATGTTATATGTACCAACAAGACTGTAAATAAACGGCAAAGGCTTACCAAAACAGAGCTTAACTGATTAACGTGAAGAGATTTGAGCAGCCCTATCACTCGCCTAAATTGATATGCGAGCGGATGTGCTGACGCTAGTAAACATGGGTGGAGCTTTTCCAGGGAAGTTGCTGGGGCAAAAAGTCGTCAAACCTATAATGTCCGATTGTCAAGTTAAATAAAATGTAATACTGAATCAATTCCTATAATTATAGATATAATATTTTGCATTACACAGATATTCCAAAGCTCCTCAATGCGAAAAAGATTGAGTTACAAAGCAAAAAAATCTTACAAATCAGCTTCAGTTGGTGGGGCAAAACGCTCATTGGTAGGGCAAAATGGTAAGTTGGTGGGACAGTCGCCCCACCAACTGTATAGGAAGCTCCATCCCTGCTAGTAAATGTCACACACCAAACTTGTGTGACATTTCATACGGAAGTAGCGAACACCTCCATGGTGGCAAGGAGAAGGTTCATAGCCACCGTTTTTGGACATTATTTTGGGCGATGGTGACCCCGCTAGGTTAGCGGCGACGGTAGCTACCTGCAGCAGGTAGTCGGCGATGCGGAAGGCGGCCGGCTGCAGGTGGCGCAGCACCAGACTCTGGATGTTCGTGTAACTCAGCTCAATCGAGTGGCGCAGCTTCTTCAGACCCGTGTCGGTCAGATCGGTCAGCAGAAAACGCTCCATCTCCGGCGAGGGAACGCCAAACATTAGCAACTCCAGAAACTCCACAGAGAGTGAGGTGTCCTCTCCAAGGGAGGCCTGGAAAAAAGACAGCGGGTCATAACAATCCATCGTGCGCACTTCATCCTTACCGCCGAGCTTCCCCGAACAATTAAGGTAACCTTCACTTGCGGTATATTTGAATCAAATAATCGAATGTTAGACATAGGGGAATGGATGTAAGAAAGTATCACGGAACAAAGACAGAACCCAGGGGCCAGTACCTGAAACCGTTCCATCTTGGAGTCCATCTCGAGGAGGACCGTCTCCCAGGCCTCGCATATGGCCTGAATGGTGCGATCCAAGTACACCAGGTGGCTGCTGATGCGGCCGTAGAGGGTGGCCAGTTGGCGGAGCTGCTCAGAGCACCCGCTCATCACTGACAGGTCCAGCTCCATAAGGCGTGCAGAGCCAACGTCTGTCGACGGGGGATAAGTCACCACTGGTTACTTCCGGGCAGTACACCTAATGGAAATAAATATATGAGCGTCCATCAGGAGCACTTTTTAAGCACCGACTCTGATCCATAGGGCATAAGGCTAAGTCAAAACAGCTAAGAGTAAAGGAAGCAGTATCTTACCTGTCGATGTTTGGGCAGTGGTGTCTTCTTTCGTTGTCTCGGTCTGCTCTCCACACAGCACAAGAAGACGGGATAGATCATTGGAGAAAGTCATTACCCGCGGCTCGAGGCCGGCTCCGCAGTCGTGTCGACAGAACACCAGCAGACCGTGAAGTAGCAGCGATACCTGGCCGTGCCGCGTGCCTGATGACGCACACAGGACATATCAGGTAAGCAAGAGCAACATCGAACATTCTGCTTTATATACTCCTAGCTTTCACATATACAGGTTATGAGGTTAGAAATGACTAAACCATGTACACGATTCTTGACAGAACCAATCAACAATATTAGGGGTATATCGCGCAGAGTGCCGTCCTCTTCACAAAGCTAACACGGGACAAATCTACGCAATAACCATGGAGACTGGATACCCTGATAGAGAATATATGCAACATTACCAACGGCCAAAACGGTGAGGGTCTTGAGGTCGGCGATGCCCTGCACATCCTGCGGGTCTTCCTCGCTGTGTTTGTTCACGGATCCGTACTTGTTGCTGAGAGAAGATAGTGGTGGTAGAAAGTCGTCCTCGTCCAACGCATCTACGTCTGCATCTGCCTAAACACGAAACAAAAAGAATGCTCGTACCACCATTAACTTCTAAACAAGGGGAACAAAACACATCTTCCAATGTAATTACGAGCGAGCGAGCGCAGCGAGCGAAGCGAGTCTTTTCAATATAACGGGAAAATCTCAGTATGAGCGGCCCGGCCCGGCCCGGCCTGTAACGCTTTTGAGAGGCTTATATCTCAGCAACCGCTGGACCGATTGGCCTGCGGTCTTTTTTGCTGGGTAGCCCCATCCCTTCTACCCCGTAATTGACTACTTTTGATACATCTCAGTGACCGTCGTGGTACGTGCCACGTGAAAAGTCAAGGGTGTTCAAGCTGTTTTGCAAAAGTAGTGATTTTGACAGGCTCATATCTCAGCAGCCGCTTGGGCGATTGACTTGCGATAATTTTGTAGGGTAGCAGCACCCCTTCTACCAAAAATAGGATACTCTCGATCAGGGTTGTGCTCGACTCAAAAAAATTTGCCGACTCGACTCATCAATCAACTTCAGAAAGCCCTGACTAACTCTGACTCAAACAAGGAGCTGATTTTTTCCCTTGACTCGACTCATGACTGAAGCGGCTCAATGAAAATATGAGTTGACTCAAACTTGACTCAAATTTTTTGTTGAGTCAAGTGTGTTGACTCAAAATTGACTCAGATAAAAAGTTGTTGAGCAGGGGGGGGGGGGTGAAAAAAAATCCGGCAGTAGGGCCAGGCCTAAGTTGAATGAATGAGCGGGGGAGAATGAAAAGCTTATATATATATATATATATATATATATATATATTATATATATATATATAATTATATATATATATTGTTTCTAAAAAGATGAGTCAGCTGACTCATGTTCCTAAATGTTTTTGACTCAACTCAATGTCAAAAGTTAGGTTACTGACTCAACTCTGACTCAACTCAACACCTTGATATTTTTGTCCGACTCAACTCTGACTCAACTCAACAGCTCAACATTTTATCAGACTCGACTCAAACCTGACTCATTTGAGTCAGAGTTGAGTCAAATTTCTGACTCGACTCATGAGTCAAGCACAACCCTGCTCTCGATGCATGTGGGTCACCCCCAGTGCACGTGCAAAATACAACAATAAGAGGTGTCAAATTTGTTCCCATTTTAATAACTCGGTAATTACTGGGGCGATTTCACTGAAACTTGGCATAAAGGTAGGCACCCACCAGGCAATGCATTCCCATGTGTTGCGGTTAGGGTGCTACTGCACGTGCGCACGTGCAGGGGGCGCTTCCAGATCTCGAGAACGGCTGGGCCAATTGCGCTCAAATTTGGTACACGGTTGGGGACCGGTTAGTAGGGTGCCGTGCAAAAGTCAATTTGGACCCCGTTTGCACGTGCGCACGTGCAGAATGCCGCTTACAGATCTCAGGAACGGCTGGGCCGATTGCGTTCAAATTTGGTATACTGCTAGCGACCGGTTAGAAGGGTGCTTTGCGCAAGCCCGTTGGAAGTACCCTCTCGCCCTTCCGCACGTGCAGGGCTCACTATCTCGCTCGCTCGTTCTTCGCCCAAAAGGCGTTTTACTGGTGTTATTATCACACAAATCAGAGAAACCTCGTCACATAAAAACACAAAACATCTTACATCTTGCGCCCTATAATTACGACCGCATATTTTCTTCCAATACTCAAACTACATTGTTAAGCATTGTCTTACCGTCTCATCGGCGGCAGGTTGTTCTTCCATGGCGGCCCAGCACAACGATGTAACAGCGGACGAAAATGTCTCAGAATGGACGACCTCCCCACTTTCCAGGTCCAAAAACGACAGGAGACCTGCGAAAATAGCAGCGGATAAGAATACACGAGCCAAAGTGAAACTTTTTGGTCTCCGGTAAATAATGGTGCTTGGGTGTCCCATAATGAGACATCACGGTTAAAAAAAAAACAAGCGCGACAAACAACAATACCATTTACAATTAATGTCGAGACGGTGCCCTTACCTGAGGTATATCCGACCGCCAGCAGCCTGCCATCGGGCCGCCAGCAGAGTGCCGACACGGACACCCCCTCCTCGGGCGGCTCGGTGGACCACACGCGGTACAGCGTCATGCGGTAGAGCGCCACACCACCTGCACAGCAGAAACACCAGGCACAATTAACCCGCGCCCTGGTGGGGTCTGTTTATAACGCGAGCTGGTGGGGGGGGGGCTATTTTTTGCCCCCCCTCGTATCTCCGAAACTACTGGACGGATCCACAAAATTCAAACGGCGTTCGAAAGGTCTGTCAAATTCGTCGGGAAAAACCAAATTTCATTGACCTCGGGGTCACCGATGACGTCACAGGTCAGGTCAAAGATGAAATGTTTCACCGTTCACGGGTCTTCTAGGGAATGCGCTATAACATCGAGGAAAACGCATTTTGTCGAGAATCAGCGATAGGGCGTCAGTTGCCTAGTAGATATGTTGCTATTAGAGGTCACTGACAATACCAGGTCAGGTCACAGGCCAGGTCACCAAGGGTCACAGGTCAGGTCACATGAGCCCAACTTTACTAAGGTAGTGTGATGCATGTTTTATGGCCAATTTTTCATTTCCAACTCAATGGTGTTGGTTATAAGACTATCAGGTACGGCTTAGGTCACTTTCTGGTGAAGTTCAGGTCAAGGTCAGGTCAAGGTCGGGCCAAAAAAGGTCAAATTTTTAAGTTGATAGTTTTGCATAAAATGGGTATTGATTCGATGCAGCTCGTCACGGGGAGTCTAATGGTGGTCTTTGTTTTGCGCTACGGGGTCTAGAATGGCTAAAAATTGAGTTTGAAAAATTGACGTCATCAATTTTGAACAGTTTTTTCGCTATAACTTCGCCAAAAAAAGAGGTATCAATCTGAAATTTGGTATGTGGATGGAAGGCGGTAAGGACTATCACATATATTCCGGTTTTTGCGAAATTCAAAAAACTTTTTGGATTTTTCGATTATTATATCCAACAAATTAATTTTTTGATTTTGGGGGGTCAAAACCCAAAAATTTCAAAAATCCGAGGTAGCAGTTTTGTAGCCCTGTCAATTCTACAGCTTTTACGTCAAAAACATTTTTCGGTATCTCTAAAACTGTAGGCCTGACAGCTCTTCCCGTGAAACCTTTTTTTGGGTCGAAAACGGCAGAACATGACGTCACTCTGACGTCATTTCCGGCCAACCTATCATAGCCTTTGGAAAAAGTTTTGGTCACAATGTGTAAAATTGATGTCCGGGAGGGTACTGAAAGTTTGGTGACGATCGGCGCAGCGGTTCTGGAGATATATCGAAAAGTCTGGAGGGGGGGCAAAAAATAGCCCCCCCCCACCAGGTCGCGGGTTAAGGGTGCGTTAACTTCGGAGGTGGCTCCGCTCAGCGTTGGTGTCCGAGCACTACTACTCCGATTCTCAGCCAGTAGATGTCACCAGGGTAGAGCGCTTTTTTCCCACGTTAATGGCCTTCTCCCCCTCCTCATTTCACGGCCCTTACGATAACGACGTTTGGTTACTGCGCCGGCGCGGCGGGCGGCGCCGACTGAGGGAGATCATGGTGTGTAAACACCGCGCGGACGGAACACGTCTCTCGACGAGCCTTCCCGGCGCCGTCCTTAGCCTGGTGTAGGTAGGTAGGTACTTACTTACCCAGTTAGAACGAAACTGATTAATTGATAAAGATACATGTTATCGAATATTGAGTCTGTCGCAGCTCTAGTCACAAGAATGTGTCTGATATTCTCACATGATTGACCTGACGGCATTGTTAAAGTGAAATGCAGTGCTAGATTCGCATTGCTACACAGCACACATACTACCAGTAAAACGCCTTATAGGGCGATAAACGGAGCGAACGAGAGGATCGGCCGTGCACGTGGGAAATTGTGAGGGGTACGTACCTCCAACTGACTTGTGCACGGCACCCTACTAACCGGTCTCTAGCAATGTGCCATATTTGAGCACAATCGTCCCAGCCGTTCTCGAGATCTGGAAGCGGCACCGTGCACGTGCGCACGTGCAAAATGGGTCCCAACTGACTTTTGCACGGCACGCTTCTAACGGATCCCTAACCGGTAACCAAATTTGAGCGCAATCGGTCCAGCCGTTCTCGACATCTGGAGTCGACCCCTGCACGTACGTGCAAGAGCACCCCAACTATGGGACATGAAAATGCATTGCCTAGGCCCTAGTGGATGCAAAGTTTCAGCGCAATCGGCCCAGTAACTACCGTGATATTGCAATTGTTACAAAAATGACACCTCTTCGTTTTGCACGTGGCACGTGCCAAGCTACCCTACAAAAATTACCGCAAGTAAATCGGCCCAGCGGATGCTGAGTTATAAGCCTTTCAAAGGCGTTACAGGCCGGGCCGAGTCGGGCCGGGCCGCTCTTACTGAGATTTATTACGGAGCGAGCGAAGAGAGCGGAGTCTAAGGTCGCCGTCCACTGCACTTTTTTACGTGCACCTCTTCGTGCACGTGCACGAAGAGGTGCAATAATGGGACCGTATTAGAGCCGGCGATAATCACGGAACATTAGTGTCGGGGCAGACTGCGGCGGGGCAGACTGCGGCGACCCCTAGGAAGAACAACTAGGGAGAACAACATTCGACAGATGGCAGCACTAGAAGAGATAATCAGGCAATACTTTAATATTAAAGGGACACTCCCACCTTAACATTAGTTTTGAGTTGAGATAGCCAAATTGGTGGCCATGGCCTGCAAATACCGGTTTGGGCACTCACAACATCGAAAAATGCTTTAATTCGAAGATATGGAATTTCAAACTTGCAGTTTTCGGATTCTAAGGGGCTAATGCATTGGAATGCCCCCTTAGAATTTGTGACGTCAGCGGAGATCTAACGATTTTTAAATCTTAGACTAAAACCATCGTTAACACGTGGTGGTATACGCTGCTTTGCGCGCAACGTCTGCCGCACTTTAAGGCTGCCAAATTATTGCTTCCAAATAAAGTCGCTAGTAACAGGGGAGATCCCAAAAAGTAAACAAAAGTAAAAGCCTAATATCTTGAAAACCAGTGAATATTTTTCGGTGAAATTTCGTAGATATTCGTTTTCGCTCTTTCTGAACCAAGGGACATCACTTTCATGCCAATTCATTAACTTTTTTGAAGGTGGGAGGGTCCCTTTAATGGGAAAGAAATCATGCCAATGTTTGCCCTCACCAAGCATGTTACCACGACAATGGAAGAATGTAGTGTAGTACCCCTCCCCGGGCCCGCCGCGTGCTGGCAGCGGCGGCCGGAGCCGGTCCGACCTTTGGCCGGCCGGGTCAGGTAACCGGGACGGCCGCGCCGCGGCGCCGCGCCCGGGCCGGCCGGGAGACGGAGTCGGGTGCCCGCCGGCGAGCCGTCGGCAAGGGCGCGGGGCACATTAGTCGAGTTGAATGTTCACTGTTCGGTCTTGAGTGCGAGTGATGTATGTGTGAATCGATATGTGAGCAGCAAAATCCAACAAGAAAACAAAATCCGTGAAAGAAAGGCAACGCTGGCCAAACATCAGCTTATATCTCAGCCACCACTTGACCGATTTACATGCGGTAATTTTTGTAGGGTAGCTTCATTCCTTCTACCAAGTATTGGACTATTCCCGATGCATGTGGGTGACCCCTTATGCACGTGCCACGTGCAAAACGAAGAGGTGTCAGTTTTGTAATAGTTGTAATATCTCGGTGACTACTTGGCCGATTGCGCTGAAAGTTGGCATGTAGCTAGGCACCCACTAGGCCTAAGGCAATGCATATCCATGTGCCGAAGTTGGGGTGCTGCTGCACATGCGCACGTGCAGGGGTCGTTTCCAGATCTCGAGAACGGCTGGGCCGATTGTGCTCAAATTTGGCACATCACTAGAGACCGGTTAGTAGGGTGCCGTGCACAAGTCAGCTGGAGGTACCCCCTCGAAATTTCGCACGTGCAAGGCTCACCCTCTCGCTCGCTCCGTTAGTCGCCCCAAAAGGCGTCATACTGGTCCGTTATATTGAAAAGACTTAGCTTGCTTCGCTCGCTCCGTAACAACAACGGGAAGTTCAGCATCTATTTTCTCATTTGAAGCTAAGCCCCATGCGCACAATCTTATTTTATTGGAGCAGACTATGAGCTGGAAGATTCGTATTCCATTTCTCATCCATTTCTCATTTGAGAGCATGTCGTTTGAAGCTAAGCCCCATGCGCATAATTTTATTATATCGGAGTAGACTCTTGACTGGAAGTAGGTACAAACTACAAATATTACAAAACATCAAGTTAACCTACGGGAAGATGGGGGAACACCGCCCTTTGGGGAACACCGCCCACCCCGATATCAGAAATATAAAAAGGTCTAGGGCGACAGCTGACTGTCTTTTGGCAGCGTGACGACAACAGAAGTGCAGGTGTGGGCAGTGCACCGCATTGGTTTAGGTGATTTGCGAGAAATTCCTAATTTTACGTTTCGTGAATACGTTTTATACTGTTTGTAGCATAATAAGCAGAAGAGAACTGATCTTATTTGACAAACATTAGCCCTGAAGTAGTATTTTTCGCCATAATTAGGACTCCTTCATGCATTACATGCTCCTGCTCGAGCGAAATTTTTGTCGTGCTGCCATATTGAAGGATTATTTAGAAAAATGTAGACACTTGGGTAACACCAGCCCCCGTTCACGAGCTCCAGAATCCCTTTACCGTGACGTCACCACGGGGGTAGAATCTCCCTTCACCCATAGGCATGCATGCAAATTTAATCATCTTTCGAGCGAGCTGGAGAAAAAACCAAGGACTATGTGTCATCAAAAGTTGTACCAATGTAACAATGAGTTCGCCTCATTACGATAAATGGGGCTGAAACTGAAAAATAGGACTATATCGAGCCAAAATCAGCAATTCAAATGACCCCTTCATTTGAACGTGAAGAATTTCCTCTGATGACGTCACCACGGCGCCTTTATTTCCCTAGTGAACCAACCTGAGTAGTAAAGGAATCTTGGGTAACACCGCCCACTTGAGAAATTTGGTATTTAATAGCACATTGTGACACCTAACCCTGGAGTGGTGCATTTCAAATAAAGAAAGAACGTTGTCGCTATGTTTTCTTTTTAGAGGATAATGAAAATTTTCGAGAAAA